GATGATCATAGTTTAGAATACCAAATTATCGTAAGTTGATATATTAGTCACGTTCTTGAATTCTAAACTATAGTAAAGTTTGATGATCATAGTTTACAATACTAAATTATCGTAAGGTTGTATATTAGTTACGTTCTTGTGTAGATTTTCAAATCATCGTAAATTAATATATTATTATTAATCTATCTTAATAATTTTAAGTTTTGTCTGCCCTGAAAATGTGCGCTTATCTTACTATCTAAATGCGCATACACGCGCACTTTATTTCAATGGACCTAAACGAAAAGCGGATGTAAGTATAATTTAATAGATATTTTTTAGAGCAATATATATGTAAAACTTATCAAATTTGTTAAAAAGTTCTAAAGTTAGGTCGTAGAATGATATTATCAGTTTATTTTTGATTGTATCAAGTACGGTAAAGTTTAGCTCTAATTAAACTAAAGTAAAAAAACCTACACAAGTTACATTGTTAATTTATTTCTTTATATATAACCTAGTAACCATATATGTATGGAGAATGACTGTCCTATTTCTATTATTTTACGAAAACGACATTTTGTTTTACATGTTTGGTCATCTCCTGTATTGCTTGATTAGCATTTTGCTTTCTGTGTATTTATAAGTTATGTTCCAATGTTCCTCTTGATAAATTCTTATAGATTGAAACATGTGAAAAAACTGATTGTCAAAGACATATTCCTACTTGGTCAACTGTATGACCCTGCAAATTATTAATTATGATGGTAAAGGCAGTGAGTTTTATTGTGAATTTCGGGTTCTTCTTTTTGGACTGTATTCTTGGGTTTGGCTTTGCTAGCTTTCTGAGCTGAATAAGCGCACTTTAATTTGGGCTTATCCAAAATTGAAATGTGCAGGGGGTAAAACATGCGGGTTATTATATAGTTGTAGCCGAGGGTACAGATTGGTCGAAATTTGGAGATATTGCATCAATATGTCTCCTTGACAACCAAACAAAGGTTTTCGGGGTGTGTCCAGAAAGACATGTGATTTTATTTTCCAGTCAGATCTGACTACCATCAGTAAAGGTGAACCAAAAGCGTTGACGATATGTTATTTATAGACCTTATTCATATTATTTTTGTTTCAAGTGATACACATAAAGACATTTTTCCCCAATTAAATATTCAGTATTAAAAACCTAAAGTACCATGTTTCTAAATACAGGACCCGGTCCTCATAACATGTAATTTAAATTACATAAAATAACCTACGTGGAGAATATATTAAAGGAGATTCATCTGAAAACATAATTGTTTAAAAAGGTTACTTCGTTTTTTTGTCCAATGGACGTCCTAAACAAACAAATCTGATCGTAATTGAACATTAAACAATTGTTATAACTATGAGCGAGAAAAACTAAAATAATCTTTGGTTGGAAAAGAAAACGAATGGGAATATATATGTCTATGACTTGGTTATACCACTGATTTTTAAAATCAGAATATTTAATTTAAAAAAAAAGATTAATCCTGCCCTAAATAGTGAAAAAGGCACATTATATATGTGCGTGTGTTAGAAAATTAAGTTACAGAAATGCTCAATAATGTCAGTTGCAATTCTTCCTTCTATTGTTCGGATGTTGTAAAGATATGATAAATTAATGTTGTGGTTGTATGGGGAGAATGACCATAATTGTAGTTGTAATCTGTAAAATTAGACTACAATTACTCATTCTGAAAGATGCATTTTTCAAGCCTAGTGTCCTGCTGGATACCCCTTGTAATTAAGGGGTTCATTATATCGTTGTAGGATATGTTTTTGATAGTTTAATTCTAAATACTTTGATAGAGAAAGTTTAGGTTTGACATATTGATGACACTTGACACCTAGAAACCTTCTGTCTGAATTTTTTGGGGGTAAATATTGTGTGAAATTACAAGAGTGTGTGAGTAAGTTAGTCAGAGAGTTAATTAGTGAGTTCCTTAGTTTGTAAAAAATATGTCATCGTGTTATTGAATTGAACGATTACTGAGTGTGTTAGCCAATCAGTTTTGGACTGTGTCATAGATGCAAAAGCAAATTTAACAAGTAAGTGACTGAAATTTTATTTTGTTAGTTAGTTCGACCTATCAGTGAACCTCGTCTATAAAATTTGTATGTTACAACTGAAGAAACAGATTGCTTTCCTTATCGTTAAGTGGACTGGACTTTGCATTATCATAACCTAATAATGAAAAAGAACGCCCCCAACTATATACACTGCTACAACACTGATGTCAGGAGTTCGGTTATTTCGATAAAAATAAGATAGAATTGAAACTAAACTTCAAGATGACGACACATGCTCGAAATGAGGTCCAAAATGTACAGGAGACGACAAAATAATGGAAAGAAGAGCAAAGAATAGGAGACAGAGTATCAAAGTAAGGCAAAGAATAAATTTACAGAAAATTGAAAGAAGACCAAGAAGAAAGAGGCAGAAACTTAGAAGATAGATAGACAGATAGAAAATGCAACTGATAACTGAATAATTTTATTGGACTACTCCAGCAATATCACAACTTCATCAAGAACCAGAATTTAGCAGACTGATTCCACAACATTGCCCAATCGAGAAACCAACAGCTCCTGACCACTCCAGACCACTCCCTAATATACATATATATTTACATATATATATATATATATATACTATAAAGCGATTTAAGTCTATGTGTCTGTCTCTGACAAAGCTATTCTAACGTTTCTACCTCTGATCACCAGGAAACTTCTATGGATTCTTGGATATATCTCAAAAGAATTATAAAGCCTCTTATTTTATATTTTCCTCATTCTTACGATAACGACAGCTATTTGTAATTCTTTACTCGCTTGCTACTGGTTTAGTACCTCGTTCTCAAACTCTAAATCTATGAAAATTTCAGGGGTTGTAGGGTATGGACAAGTTACATAATATACCGAAAATAGTTACACTGATGAGCAGAATCAGACAAGTAGAGGTTAATTTCGAGAAAATTTTATGCCAATATCAAATAGACTTGCATGGCAAATGACACGCGCACACGGCGTCCTGCCATCTTTTGAAGTCAATGAAATATGTGTGGTACGTGGCATGTAAATTTTCACCAGTAATGATAAACAAAGAATGTGAAAATTACTTTTATCTTGCTGCGGTTATTTAAATTTTATACGTCAGAACTTCTAACATTTACAATAATTTAGGTTAATTATTCTTACCCCCCGGTGGCTCATCTGTAAATCTGGAAGATTATATCGCTAAAAATCAGCTTTTGATGCATATATGGACACAGCACAGATAATCCAACTTAACAAAGAACAACCAAATTATTATTTATTATTATTATTATTAACAAATATATAAAACACATACACTGATACAACCACAATAGCAAGCCTAGAGAAGGTACCTTCTCCAGAGGATTGTGGATTTTGTAAGCCATCATTAAGTTTAAGTGTAATCAGTTATCAACTGTATATTTTGAAATGATTTATAAATATAAATTTTTATTATATGAAAACTGTAAATCGTGATGTATGAACTAGGCCTAGAATGTTTTTATTTTCCATATATTGGTACTCAATGAAACAAGTTTTAATGCTTTTAGATAAGACAACAGAGAGACTCAATATTTTGTGGTTTGGTCAAACATCACTGAATGCATAAAGTTTCATTTCCAGTAACTAAAACTAAGCTGGCGTTCAATGATTTTGTTATGATCTTAAGAAAGTCCTTCTCTTAATAGTGCTTTTGCTTAATTTCTTTCTTCGTACAATCCTTTGGTATGGAAGATAAATCTGTTTCTGTTTACACTTATATATAGCCCATAGCGACACAACATTGTTTACTAAAAATATAATAATGTA